ACGGTATGAGAAATATACTGAACCTTATTGGAAAATATCAGACCGAGATTGATAAGATACGCGTGGATATCCATTAGCGTTACGCATCAAGAATCGACATCGTTGTAAATATTGTAATGAAGTACGATCACGTGAAATTCCACACGGAGAACGATACCGAAAGGCATCGCCGGAATCCGCCGTTGCGGCGGAACTGAAATCAAGAAAGCGGAATGCATTTATCTGCGGTCAAAAGACAGCCGTGACGCCATTACGTAGACATGTCCGCCGCGAAGGAGCAGCTTGCGTTACGTCTAAGCACTCGTTTCTTTTCTTTTTCACTTATGCCGTCCTCTCCGTTTGTTCTTTTTTCCACCATCCAGAGAAACGGCTGCAATCTGCCGTAATCGCGCGGATCTCGGGCAATTCAAAGCCAACTTCACCGCGATCGATTGCCACGCGGTTTCGCGGACGGCGGATATTAGTTGCCGCGCACGTTAACACACATTTTTCTCTATCTCTTTCCATCTCTTTCTTTTCCTCCCATTCCCACAAGACCTTGGTCGACATACCTACCGCATATTAGGACGGCAGAGATCCCATTATTGTGAAGACGGCCGGGTCGGATATCAGGACTATCAGGAGAGAGACGAGACGAATGACATCGCGCACTCGTGGAAAAAGCGCCAAATGGGTCCTTCGCGTGCGGCGAATTTCACTCCGCGATCGATCAATCCGAACGGAGCTGAGTACCACGCGAGCGACGAGGAAAGCGTGCGCGATTAAACACTCAACCGTTTTCGACGAGGTATAAGCGTATACGTAACACCGTTCGTGGAAACTTGGGAACGCGATAAACCTCGCCGCGGTCAAGAACGTTGCGACTAATCATGAATGACAATCATCCCCACAGATCGCGAGAGGAGGGAACCGGAATAGCTGAACGGGAGTGTGTCAGCGCATGCTCCAATCATGATCGACCTACGACGAATGTGAACCCAGTGAACCAGCCTGCGAATGACGCGAATGTCTCGCAGCAGTGTTGCCAGGCTAATCAATAGATTTGTTCCTAATGAAGATTTTGCTGAATTTGCTCCTTTACTTTCTAAAATCCCTAACGGTTATTCGATATCACGATTTTATCGTCAGTGCATTCATTAGGACTGTTCTTTTTGGCTGAACTTTTGCACCGGTTCATCTTTCTTCCTTTTCTTTCCAGGAAGAAAGAAGAGGAAGAAAGATGAACCGGTGCAAAAGTTCAACCAAAAAAGAACAGGCCTAATTTACCAACCACGTAATTACGTAGTTCCCAAATCGAAAATGAATATACTGGCGCTAGTACACGGACGATTTTGACGAAAAACGCCAGATGGCTGCTCTTAAGTAATAATTGGGCTTTATCGCGGATTGTATCCGTTGTATGATTTCTAATAAAATTAGTGTAGAGATTTATATTTGACCACCACGATAAAAATTCACAATGAAACAACTAGGTATGAGCATTGAAATCAATCTTTATTGTTTGACTATTTATTTATTTTTCTCGCTGATATCAAATAAATAAGATTATAGTTAGGTTAACTCACGTGGGTATTCCTGTAAACAACAATGGATTGAAAGTTCGCTCGGTCGGGGCGGATATATATTTGCTCTGGTCTGAGTGGATATTTTTGAAAAGTGTGGCCGGCTTTAAACGTATTGCATTTCATCATACATTAAAAGTTTTTGTACGTTTTATTTGAATCTCATCTGTTTCGACTCGTTTATGGCCAGATTGCGACTATGAGATGGCTGCAAGTGCCAATTAAAGAAAAGGAAGGAAGGAAAAGAGAATGGATTGAAATGGATTTAGATTTTTAGAAATCACGCATTTACAAACGTTAAAATGAGTTCTTCTCAATCTGAATGTATTTTTATTCATTTGCGCCAATTGAATAAAGCACATTTCTATTTAAAAATAATATCAACTTTTTGTTTCGTGTATATTTCTTAATTCAAAATTCTGAATAGAAAATGCAGTTTTTCAATCCAATTGAATCCAACTGAATCTAATTTAATCTAATTAAATAAAAAAAAGTTTTTGTTATTTAAAAAATACATATTTGGATAGATAAAATTTCAATTCATTTTAATCCATTCTCGTTTACTGGATAGAATATACATACAAGAAAATTATATAAATGTAATGAATTTATAAAGTCATTTACATATAATTTAATATTGAAAAGATGCATAATTATTTCTATTTTAAATAACTTAAATCTAGAAAATGCAGTTTAAAATCTTGCATGTATTACAATTAAAATAAACAAATTACTTTATAACAATCTTGCGTTTCGCGGGTTTTCTCCGTGTTCAAATCCATTCTTGGAATGCCAACGTTTCGAAAAAGCCTCAAGAATATTAAACAAATTACTTATATTTTTATAATTTCTTAGTTATTATTTTAGTTGTCATTTTTATTATATAAAATTATTTTTATATCGTTTCCAGTGGATAAAAAGTATTATGGAAAGACACCAATTGGTAAAAGACACTCGGAAAAGGTACCAGTTAAAAAAGAAATATTAATGAAACATTCTAGAGGTCCTGGACTTGAGTTAAATAGAAAGAAGGATATAATAAAAAATAAAATACTGAGAAAAAAATTAAAGCAGAAAGAGCAAGCTATAGAAGAACAGATAGAAGCTTCTGCTAGGACAGAACTATTATTGACAGAGGAGCATGGTTACTTGGAAGCAGAACCTGGAGAAGTTACTACTGAATATCGACAGAAACAAATAGCAGAGAATGTGGACATAACGAGCGCGGCTAAACGTTTCAAACTAGATTTGCAATTTGGCCCATACTGCTTTAGATATACCAGAAATGGCAGACATTTGCTCTTGGGTGGGAAACAAGGTCACGTGGCAGCTTTTGACTGGGTGACGAAGAAGCTGGCCTGTGAAATAAATGTGATGGAATCTGTGCATGATGTTACATGGCTACATCTGGAAACTATGTTTGCAGTAGCACAAAAGGACTGGGTTTACGTATATGATAATCAGGGAATAGAATTACATTGCTTGAAAAGAATGAATGGTGTAACGAGATTAGAATTTTTGCCATATCATTTTTTACTTGCCAGTGGATCAAAGGACGGTCACATGGCTTGGTTGGATATTTCTATAGGCAAGCTAATTGCTCGTTATAACTCCAATTTGGGCAGAATATCTGTGAGTTTTATAAAAGATTGCATTTATTTTTGATTGTTCATGTTGTATCTTGGATATTGCTTATGATCATTAATTTATGATAGGTGATGACGCAAAATCCAAGTAACGCGGTGCTGTGCGTGGGTAATTCGAAAGGAGTAGTGTCTATGTGGTCTCCAAACTCTCATAAACCATTGGTAAAAATGCTTTGCCACCATCAGTCAATTATGACGTGCACTGTTCATCCATATGGGACTTACATGGCAACTAGTTCTCTAGATAAATCTGTGAAGATATGGGATATTAGACAGTTAGCAGGACCAGTGAGTCACTTGCACCTTCGTTCACCCGCTCATCGTATGTCTTACAGTCAGCGCGGTTTGCTCGCACTTGGAATGGGCAATGTAGTTGAAGTTTATAGGTAATTTATTGATATAAAATAAGTACTACACAATCGAGGAATTTTTATCATCTGTATTTATTTTTATATTAGAGAAACTTCTGGTGACTTCAAGCCATATTTGCGACATAGAACTGCTCGCAATGTGAACTGTGTAAGGTTTTGTCCCTATGAAGATTTCTTGGGAATTTCAACAGCTAATGAGTTTTCGTCACTTCTGGTGCCAGGAAGTGCGGAAGCAAACTACGATGCGCATGAAGTTAATCCATTCCAGACTAAAATTCAAAGACGAGAGACGGAAGTGAAAGCACTTCTAGAAAAGATACAACCTGAATTAATTACGCTAGATTCGACCGAAATACTTGAAATTGATGTACCTACGTATAAAGAAAAAGTGGAAGCAAAGAAAAAGCTTTTGGTAAATAAGGAACGAAAATATTTTAAATTTAGATTATTTTGTATGATTATGGCATTCGACATTTTTAACAATATTTTTTTTTAGTATGTTAAACCAAAACCAATAAACTTTGAACCTCGACGAACAAAAGCTAAGGGAAAAGGTGGCACCGCGAAAATAATAAAAACTAAAAAAATATTGAAAGACCTAAATCGTCGGGTAAGCATTGTGTATATTTTAAACTTATTTTTGATACTTACAAATTGAACGTTAAATGATATAAATTATTTTTAGGAAATGATTGAAGCACTTCGTGAAGAACAGAAGGAAACAGTAACGAAAAAGACAGAGAATCAAAATAAAGATTATGGTGTATTAAATAGATTTGTTTCAAAAAAATAGAATAATATAATAATAGGATTCATTATTGTGTATATGTAATTATTATACATTTTAAATTATTATATATTTTAATATTTATAAAAGTTACAACAAATAACGATATTCATACTTTTTAAAAATAAAAAATGATTTTGCATTAAAGTATTATAAAATATACTTGGCATTTTTAATAAATTTTAAGCGATTATAAAACCAGGGCTTACTGTAATTTCGTAAGGTCCTAAATCTGAAAAATGTATTCTGAAGTCAAATTAAAGACAACCAATACCAGAGCAGATCTGACAACAGCAATGCGACAAATGAATGTGTTTGGCATATCTGTTTGCTAGTTTATTGCTAATCCGTTATATATTTCGCTCAACCGAGCTTGTTGCATATTTATACAGGTCATTCGGCAAACAATCTTGCAATGACAGAAAATGTTTTATACACACACGTACACACGCATATATATTACATATAATAAAAGACCAATTTTATAAATTACAATTTATCACAGCAAAAATACAATTTTTTTTAAAGAACTAATTTTTATTTTTATGCAATATTCATTAATCATAAAAATCGATGATTAATCACAGGCACATATAATAAAATATATGTATCTATTTACATAAATGAAAATATATGTGCATATTTACATAAATGAAATACATAAATATGTCATAAAAGATCCAAGAAGGATATTTAGTTGTTGGTTGCTGCCTGCATTAATAGTATCGTTAATCCACTGTCTGTAATAGTACACTCTGGTAAACACATCTGGATAGCCACTGGCGCATGGCTGTCTACCATAGGACACGATGCCAACCAGGTTGCCTTCGTAAGTAAGCGCACTACCGGAATCTCCCTGCAAAGACAGCGTATTTAATATAATATTAGCTAGTTTTTATGTATATGTTGTTGCTTAAAGTTTAAATATTAGTGTATGACGTAAATAATTGCCAAACTTTAGCTGTTTTTGTAAAGCAATTGGTCGTTTTTATATTAGAAATAACTAGTTCTGATAAATTATCTGCAAAACAGAGAACTTTTATTTCTTGATATCAACTTGATATCAAGAAATAAAAGATCTGAAGAAAACAACAAGATGACATTTTTATAAATTATAGGAAGATAAAGGTGGTCACAAGTTAAGCGTATATATTATACAATTTATTTTACGATTATAGATATACTTACATAGCACATTCCTTGACCAATCGCATTAAGAGTGCATATATGACGATCGGTTAAGTTGTACATTTTGGTGCAGCTCTCTTGAGAATATTCATACACTACAATTTGTTGAAGCACTTCCGGAATTGAACCGTCTGTCTAAAAATAAGTATTTTTAATTAAATATATGTCCTAGTTTTGAAATAGAAGTAGATCCATAGGTCTGTTTTCTTTGTCGCTGAATTAGATTGCACTAATTCTATTTTTTATCTTGCTTTCGTCAAACTTCAAATATATATCTATTACAATTTAAGTACAACAAGTTTACACTAGTTTAGCTACAAGATACTTATATCTGATATTATTTTAAATGATTTTAAAGGAAATATGAGATATATTTCTTATATTTACCTTAACCCTTCCCCAGCCAGAAACATTTAACTTAAGATTTTCAAAATCACGGTCGTAAGATATTAAATTTATTAGTTGAGTGTTATTACTAAAGATAATTTTGTTTTTTAGATTAATTAAACCAATATCGTTTATGGCTAGCGTTTCGTTGTAATCAGGGTGTATTATTAGTTTTTGCGCCGTATATCTAGTTTCAGCATTACTAATATTAATGCTTCCAACGTCGACGGAAACATTGTCTGGTAACTTTCTGTAATAATAAAAATTTACATGTATTTAATTTAAAAGCTAATTTAAAAGAATAATTTTTTTTATATAAATTTATTTGAAAATGTATATCTGAATATATCTGAGGTGTCTTAATTACGTATAAACAATATAAATCGCTTATTCCTAGATATTGAAAATTGTTACATGCTTCTTCAAAGAAGAATGGTAAAATAAAGCCAAAATCTACCTGTAAACATTTGAAATTAGTCTATCTTTATATTATTATGCTTACTGTACTTGAATATGGAACTTAAAATTATTCAAAATCTGAGGAACTTTGAAAACGTAATTTTTTTATACAAAAGCCTTGTTTTGCAACACATATATTCTAATAATCAAGTAGTAACTACAATATGAGTAAAAGAAATGTCCTTTTATTGTGTGACGACACGCGATGAATAAGTGCGCGCATGCACGAAAATTGGTTGCAGAAGATAAGTCTGTTGCTCACAGGATGCTTTAACGTTAGGCGTGATAAGAGATTATACGATAGACTCTTTCTAATCAGAGTCTAATTTGGCTATCGCTTCGTTTCTTACCATGCATTGGCGCGTTTCTGGTGTACAACAGACTGAACAGGCTATAGGGAAAAGTTGAGCATAAATAAAGCAAATAAAATAGACGAGTGAAATTTATTCAGTTTCGAATCTTTTAGATTCGAAAACGTATCGAATCGAATCCATTGTGATTCATTGTGACCATAATTCGTATACCTCTAATTCTCTCTCTCTCTCTCTCTTTCTCTCTCTCTCTCTCTCTCTCTCTCTCTCTCCTTTTTCTCTTTTTCTTTCTCTCTCTCTTTTTTTAAAACTTCATCAATAAAAGAACTTTTTTTACTCATAGTTACTATTTGATTATTAGAATGTAGGTATTTGTTACAAAACGAGACTTTGTGTGTAGAAAAATTGCGTTTTCAGAAAACATTGGATTTTAAATAATTTTTGGTTTTATGTTCGAGTTCAGCAGACCTAGTAATATAAAAATAGACTGATTTTAAACGTTTCCTTACAGGCAAACTTCGACCCAATTTTACTATTCTTCTTTCTCGTTTCCTCACAATTTTGTTCCGTTATATTTGTTTTTAAATAATATATAATAATAGTTTTACTCTTTTACTAATAAAATTACAATGTAGAAAATATAATAATTATTCAATTAAGAATTAAACAGTAATAGATAATTGAATGCTTTTTACAATTGAGAGGAAAACACCCATACTTCGATAAGCAGTGCGCCGCAGTGATAACAAATGTCTCGTGGATGATGGCACCACCACAAAAATGGTTTCCATTTTGCTTCAATGACACTTGATAAGGAAATTGCCCCACTGAAGCATTTGTGCCGCCTACGATTTGCACATCCACACCTGTTGATTGAAAAAGTTTTGTCTTTATAATATCTTATTAAAAATATAAATTTTAAACTCTATTAAGAAATTTTGTTTCCTTATATATTAACTTTTTTCTTTATTTTAACATTTATTTTTTATATAATATATGTAAGTTCCGTTTTAAAATATGACAAGTACCGAGTGAATTACAAGTATATGTAAGTGTTTTAATAAAATTTTAAAAGTAACAAGATTGCTACATGAGTCGTTTTAAAAATATTATGATAAATGCCAAATAAATTACTACGTCATTTTAATAAATGTATAATCCGCTGAACTAATTTTTAAATAATTTATTATGATAGGTTCGCTTATATAAAATGTAATTATTAACGCTTATTTGGATTATATGAGACAATTACGTGACAGAATTAAGTTATATAACATCTAATCGATATTAATCTTATTAATATTATTATGATACATAATTCGAATTATTCGTGATGTATTAAGGCTCATAATTTGTTAAAATTTACATCTCTTCAAAATTTCTCAATAAAATTTTTGCAAATATATGTACTTACCATAAGCGGTGTGATATATTAGACACGTGATTATGAGATCTGTGATAGAAAACATAGTGACAGTTACTGAGGTTCGCGAAATGCGTTATCTTCGATTTATATAACCATCAATCAACATTATCAATTTGTGCGTATCGATTCTCCCGTTATCTTCGTGTGCAGGTATAACGAAAGAGGTATATACGTTTGCAGAATGTATCATCAAGGATGATATGAGTACTTTTTACTGTAGTTTCTCTTGAATCAGCACTATTTAGTTTATGATTACTACAAGTAATTTCGAAATTGTGAAAGAATTCATTGCTTTATGTTGTAACTATACATATTTTAAATTATTATACTTTATACGTTAATACATAATATAAATATGTTGATTCCAGACGTATTAATGAGATACTATTGCATCAACTTATTAAGTTTTTGAATATATTATTGTATTTTTTAAATTATTTTACGTAAAAACATTACAAAATAATATTTAGCTCTTTTTTGACATCTTTAATATAATCTCTTTTTTAGACACATTGTATTTAGAAAATAATTTAATGTTAAATCATTTCCATCAATTTAAAATTAATTATTTGACCTTAATAGAAAATATATTCAGAATTTCTGTAAATTCATTAATTGTTTACGTAAAAATAAATTTTTGATGCAAAAATAAAAATAAGAATAACAACTTCCAATCGTCTTAATCTTAACAAATGTTATCCAGAACATGACTCTGAACAACACTCAAGAGGTTTTAATCGTTGGTCGGACACTTTGGGTAATATTTTCTAATGAATTAATGATGGCGGTACTGTAATTTTTGAGCTTTATAATTCAAAAAGTATTTAATGAAAATGAATTTGATTGTAGTATGCTTTTTTTTGAAAAGCTCCCAATATCAGCTAATAATCTGTAATAAAAAATAGGGTATTTCATTAAAAAAAAAATCGAAGACGACTCTATCCAAGATCAGACTGATAAGCTCAGTAAACAGATCTTTTTAAATCCTATAACTTTGTCTGAAACATTTTTTCAATAAACCAATACTTTCTGAGATAATTAGTTGTTCCGGGACTTTTGGACCTCACTATATATTAGAATAATATCTAATAAAATATATTTTGTGCAATCAAAAAATATTTTGCTCTTTCAGCTAGAATTATCGTTGTTTTTTATATTTAATAGAAAATTATGTATCATACGCGCAGAAATCATAACATAATATTCTAACAATATTTGCAAAAAAAATAAATCATAACCAAATATGAATCACTGCTAAATATGAATCATAACAATCACAGTTATCCGAATGAATGTTACAGAGAGACTTTCTTGATAAATTTGACAAATTTCAGATATAAATTCTGTCTCTACCATCTATGTATATTGATTAGACACAAAATATTCAACATTGCAGTGCTTACTAGTTATTTATTTATTTAGCTAATTTTTCGTATCTATGTAATTTTCCGCTATATAACTGCAAACTTTTTTTTCAGTGTGTGCAAAATTAAATTTAAAGGTGTACAACATATTATGAGAAGCTATCTCTCATATAATTGTAGTAGACATAATTGTAATAGTTTAATATAAAATACGGAAAATATTTAAAAAATGTATGAAATAGCTGCAAAAGCGTTTATAGAAAAATATTTACCGAAATGTATTTTATTTAATTAAAAGATATTTAAAAAAAAATAGCAAAATGTACACTAAATATAAATAAATGTAACAAAATTAAAATTGTTTGAAGTTAATTAATCTCAAACATTTACAATTCTACTTTTATAAAAATAGATTATTTTTAATTTGTTTTAATTTTTTATTTCTCTTTACAAACAAAATAAATTTTCGTAGAAAGTATATATTTATTTGCTTGTTTCTTTAAAATTAGTTTGATACATACGTATAAAAATAGATATGCAATCTATTTTGCAACCTGCGTTTTTTCAAGAAGTATGCAAAATTTCTGGAAATATTTTCTGTTTATTTTACAAAAAATCTTAATAAAATTATACATACCCAGACAATACAGAGAATTAAAAAAGTATTTCTTTTTTAATCCCTGAATTATGAAGTTATGTATTCTTCTGCTGTTCTATTTCTGACCTAAGAAATTCTCTTCCCGGGAGTAGTTACTTGAATTTTTTTTATATAAACTATCATCTGGAGTGTTTTTACATTCGAATCAAAATTATTATTAATAACATATTGTATATTAACGATTATTTTCCGATTTATTAATATTTGAGAACATAGACGGTTTAATCATAATTTTTGGTTTCTACTTAATAAATAAATAATTAATACGTAATAAAGACATAATTAAAGATTTGTAAAAAATAGCCATTAAAAAGAAAGAGAATATGTTGAACAATATCCATGTAAAACAATATTTTACACTAATGCATTTTTTCGCTTTTAAGATATAAAACCAGATAATTCTTTTTGGGTAAAAGTTTCAAAACATTTTCACTTTTACTTCATGAATTTTGAGCTCTTTTTCAGATAGAAAAGGAAATTTTTTTATAGTCTATGAGAATTCGCAATAAAATTGACATTTTAAATATTTCAGCAAACACAAATACATATAATTCTCAAGGATATTAGATTTTTATAGGTACAGAATTAAACAAAATTATTCTGACAAAATGCATCTTATTTATGTTCATTATGGAGCCCTATTTTGGGGATATGCCTCTAAAAAATCATTTTATTAGAACATAAGTAAAAGATTAATGCTGCGCCTTTTATGTTCTATTCTGTATGATTCTTACCTACGAGAAATAGAATTCCGCTTTTATTGTTGATACACGAAATACTATCTTCTCTAATAAAGAAATGGATATGTTAGTAGAATATATGTTATCGTCAAGGATATATGTTATGAGAAGGATGGTATTACGTGTTCGAAAAGAGATAACGACAGAACATTTTAGAATGAGTTTTATTAATCATACGATAGCAAAGATTATTATTAATCATATAATAGCAAGTTACGGTATAACTCAAATTATATTTGGATAGATATAAAAATAATTTTCTGCTTTTTGTACGAATTAAAATGAATCATAGTTACATATATAATTTTGAATATTAAATAATTATAGTTTTAATTTGATTTATTTTTATGAGAGATAAATCCAATTTTATATAAATTGTTGAAAATATTAATTCTATGTATTAAGGAATTTCTTGAATTTTCGTCTAAACTTAATGCATAAAATCTAATTATAAATAAACATTTTATATAGTTATATCTTTACACAATAATTTATTAAACAGAAATTGCTAATTATTGATTCTTGATGTTTTAAAATAATAAATGTTGCAATTGTAAAAAATTTCGAAATAACAATTTAATGTAGATCTATTACAGTGTCAGATCCCTGTGTAGTATTTAATCCATGATCGATAGGAAGATATTCTGGTAGATACGTCGGGAGTACCTGTACCGCACGGACCATAACTGTATGACATAAGACCAACTAAAACGCCATCAGCAACGAGTGGACTACCGCCGTCGCCCTATTGTAACAATTTATTTAATATTGCTTGATAGAAAATTTTATTTATGCATAATTTGTTGGAATGCAATATAATTTTATAAATTATATGTTTAATTTTAGTCGACAAAAACGTGTGACATTAAAACTTCCTGATTTTTATAAGAAAAGCTTATAATAACATTTGATAAAAGTTATTAAATTCTAAGAAAAGATATTCAAACGGTAAAAATTTATATTTTCACTTTTAGATATAAATTTATAGATAAAATGATAGCAGTTAATTGTACTATTCTTTTGATAAACTTGTTTTTTTTATCATATTATAACAGATATCACATATTGTTTAGTTCACGATTACTTACGTGGCAAAATCCTTCATTCTCCATTGTAAAGGTACATATATGAGTCTCCTTGATGTGTGCCCATCTGCTGCATAACTCATGGGAATATCCTCTTACTATAATTTCTTGCAAACGATTAGAAGCTAAACCGCTCGACTAAAAGAAGTTGTTAATTTATTTAACACATTATTTTATTAAATTTATATCCTTATATCATAATTTTTCTATAGATTATTATTTTTATATTTTATATGTAAACTTCTTGTTTTCTTATATAAGTATGCAAGTATGCATTTGTTCCTAGAAAGAATGTATGAATAATATATACAAATTACATTTGTAAGTATATATATATTATTTTAAATAACTTTATATTTATTTACTATTTCTTTTCCTATTAGAAAAGAACTTATTATATATTTATTACTACCTTTTTAACTTCTCTTTTATAGATATATTTTAAAATAAGTTGTTCTTTATTTAAGACTGAATATAAGATACAATATTTCTAAAGTAAGTTATGACTCTTTAATGCTTATTTTAATAGACATGTCTAAAATACATTTAATTCTGAACTAGAGTTATAAATTAACAATGTTATATTGATGTTTTTTGTAAAACATTCAAAGAAATTTATTTTCCGAATTTTACATCAACTAAAGAAACGATTTGGAAAAAGAAAAATAGCAAAGAATTTATAATGTTTTCAAATTTACCCAAAGATCTCCCCAGCCAGTGACTAAGAGAGGATAATCATCGAAATTGCGATCGGTAGTTGACAAAGCAATCGGTTGGACGTTTTCATTAAATGTGATATTGCTTGATACTTGGATTAAACCAATATCATGAATACGTAGTAAATTATTGAAACCAGCGTGTACTATCAAGTTTTTTGCTTGATATGTTTGATGTGGTATATTGACTGCATCAGTCGCGTTAAGATAATTGCTTCCAACGACGACATAAACGTTGTAAGGATTCTCGAATCTATAATGGTTCATACAAATAATAATTATTTAATATTTGATTCAAATGTAATGATACAAATGCCTAGGGGAGTACTGGTATAAAAGGCAATAATGGTTTGTTCTTTATAATTATCATATTATAAAATATAAAGAGAATTCATTCATTTTCAGTTTTGCTAAAAATTTTCAAATAATTTTTTTGAATGATTTAAAAGGATCCTTTCTTTGATTGTTATTGCTTGCATCACTTCAGATAACTGTCATACTGATAACACCGAAATGCGTGAATAGAATAAGTATTTTGTTATATATAAGTATTCTGTTATATATACATACTAGGAGCTGAAAATTTTACATTAGTAGTCGATTTTTGAAAAATATTATTAATCTATGTTAATTCTATAAAAATCTTTATTTATTTTTAAATAAATTATAATTAAAAATATTTGATCAAGATAAGAATGTACATACTGATTAATACATTGGGCAGTAGTAATAATGTAATTTTCGCTTATAATGGCTCCACCACAAAAATGAGATGAAGAATTTAATGTCAAATTTCTCAATGACACCTGATAAGGATATGCGCCATCTAGAGCGTCATTGCCACCGACGATTTGCGGACGTGGCAAACCTATCGATTAAAAGAATTTTTACATTTGTTTTCGCTAAAGATATCAGTTCGGGACTGACTGTCACATAAGTCATTTATCTTTGTCTTATATTTAAAAGAATTAATAACATTAAACAAGATGCGAAACAGAGAATTTTTCTAAAATTTTTAATATCTCTTGGACTTGCATTACTAGAAGTATTAAATTTATTAAATAATCATTACGATTACAAGTTAGACTGCTAGAAAAAAAAATTTAGAATTTTAGAAAGTAAAGTTTTGTATGAAAATTTTTTGAGACTTATTTGAAACGTATAACGCGCGCGATAAAAAGATTATATAATGAGCATAAAGTTATTATGGTAAATACTACTTACCGTAGATGGTGAGCGCCAGACACGCGATTATAAGACCAGCGACAGCGTTCATGGCGATAAGCACTATGGTACGTTAAACATGTTATCTTCAATTTATATCCTATATCATAGATTGAAATCATCACATGGTACTTTAATTTATCTAAGTGTATCGATAGGAAATATGCACAAATTAATGTACGTTGTTATTTACGACATTTATATCTATATACAAATTATATTAATGGCAAACCCATTATTAATCAGGAATTTGTTTATATAATTTCAATGAATTTTATAGTAATGTGTAGCACCACAGTTACAGTATAATTAATCGTAAAAGCATTTATAAATTTTTATATATCTTTATATTAGAGAAGGTGTTTTTAATAAATATATTCATATTTAAGATGTATAGATATTACATTTGGTATTTGATTTTCAGTGAACAATATATGTTTCTTTGGGAAGAAAAGATAAACAAGATTAAATTTTAAAAAATGTTCCTTATAAATGTATACAAATGATATTTTTGTAGAAGCATATATTCTAGTTTGTTAACTCCTTTGTAATAAATTGATATTGAACATATGTATATGTATAAGAGAGCACAAATATTTTGTTGCTCATTTAATGTATATCTACGTAAAATAAATTATTTAAAGTAATTTCTTGATTTTTTAAATTACACGCGACAGCGACGATGTGTCCATTCTTAATATTAAAAAAGTCTTGTAACTTATTGAGACTTTAATGTAATTTATTGTTAGTAATAATCAATTTGCAATTAATAAATAGATATTATATTATCTTTTATGTTTTTTACATTTTTTAATAGATTTATGTTCAGTAAGCAGAAATACGAAAATGACTATTTGCATTTATGTTGTAAAAAAACATTAAATTACAAAAAGACAAAAGTATGAAAAAAGATTTTAAATTAAAACTTATAATTTCATTTATATATTGCTTCAATAAATCGACTTCGGATTTTGTTATAAGTCTTTGAATATATAGTATAAGAATAATCTTTGTAATATTTTTAATATTTCAAAAATAAGTACTAGTCATCCTTAATGATGCTTTATAAATTTTATATTATATTTGTCTTCTTTACAATATTAATGATCCGTATAATTTTATATTATATTTGTCTTCTTTACAATATTAACGATTCGTATAATTTTAATCATCAAATCCACATTACACCGTGCTCTGTCTTTAAATATAAGATTAACGCAGATATACGATTACGAGATTAATAAATATTTGTGTGACATTATCTCCCTCCCTCTCTCCCCCTCCCTCCCCCCTCTCTCAAAATGTTTGTCATTTTATAACATATTGTAAAAATAAACTTGAATGAAGAATATTTATAGATGTTTTTTAAAATATTAAAATATTTCAATTAATGTAATAATTTAATTTTATAAATAATAAAGTGATACAGTTATTTCATTTTATTATTCAGATACTGATATACTGATATAGTTTAAACACTAATGTACTGGGCAAGCCAATTCGCAAAAGAGAATACCCTAGTGTACACATCCGGAAATCCTCTAGCACATGGTCGAACATACGAGGAAAGGCCGATTTGAATACCGTTGGCGACGAGAGGACTACCAGAATCACCCTAAAAAAGTTATTTGTTAGAAATGATACTGCAATGCTTGATATCACAAGAGAATAATTGCTAATATATATTTTAAAAGTATAGAATTTATAATAAAATATAAAGAACACATATGCACACATACTTATAGAAGTATGAAATAAAATAGTAAATTAACTAAGATATTATTGACTCATTGAATTTTGTAAAAGTTTGTACAATTAATCATTTTTTAATAACTGTTTGTTTATAAAATTAAAATTATTTCATTAATATATTATTATGTGTTTAATTAAGATCAATTATTCATACTCACATGACACGCTCCTTCTCCAATTTGTGAAAATGCGCAAATTTGACTGGACCTCACAGTCAAGAATAAACTTTTGCATTTTGATTGTGAGTAAACTTTTAGATTAAGTTTTTGAAGCTTATCAGGAAGTTCACCTAAATACTGTAAAAATATTCGAAGAAATATAAGAAAAAACGGAGAGATATATACTTTGATATAAAATCCTAAAAGACACTGGTATAGATTTTTTTATCGTAGTTTAATTTTATGTTTCATATTTAGCGATGATTTGAATAGTAGTAATACTTTATGTAATATATCTATACTGTTCTACAAACGTAAAGAAATCTGTCGATTACTTATTAAGATATAGCTTGTTATATTCCTCTTACCGTGAGTGTTCCCCATCCTGTCAAGAAGCAAGCGTCGCCAACCAAAACAGAATTCGTCTTGGCGATAGAGATTGGTTGCACCAATTTATTGTATTGTATATCCGTTTTCAGGCGGAGCAAACCAATATCGTTGAATATTAAATCAGGTTCATAATCAGGATGGACAATGGCTTCTTCAGGAATGTAAACATAACCGGATTCATTTAAACGATTCGTGCCAGCATGAACTGTTACGTTTTTGAGACTTTTTGAATCAGTAAATCTGTATTACACAAAATTATAAATTATAAGAATTATATATTGTATTATATAAATAAGAAATTAATATTAGTTTGCTTAAATTAAATTTAATTAGTTGACATTAATTATTAAAAAATAAGAAATGTAAATACGGTCGAAGAATAATGAATTTAAATATTTACATGTCTAAAAATTTTCCAAGAAAATCTGAAAAATCGAAATAATAAGAAATGCTAATAATGAAGCATTAGTTAAATCAAATATTGTAGTGCTTCAGGATTTAGCACAGGATTTTTAAATCTTACTCCCATAGCAAAAATCATCATAGTTACCTACATCACAACAATCATGGTTACGTCATGGTAATGTACGAGTGTCCACTTTGTCATAAATGTGATGTTACAGCAATGTTATGGCGATGTGCGAATGTCTTTGTAATATGTGACGTTTTGTTATAACAATCTTACAGTTACATCATAATTTCTTCCTAACTATTTTGACTCTATTAATTGTGACCCTTTGCTATGGGGATATTTTGCAAGCTGTGCAAAAACAATACGCACTGGATAAGACAGTGACCCGCGGTGAGAATATAACGTTTCGAGATAATGGATCCGCCACAAAAATGACTGACGTTATTTCGTCTCAGAGACACCATATAAGGATGAGCTCCATCTAAAGCATTAGTTCCACCGACGATGTAGGGATCCTCAGCTAAACAGATTTTTAACATTTTTAACGTATAATTTTTGCGATAAATTTTCATTTAAATATTTTTCTCTTATAATTATATTTATATTATATATTTATACCAAAGATTTTGCAAGTTAAAATAATACAATAATAGTTTTTAATTACTTTTTTAAATATATAAGATCAATTAGAAAATGTGCCGTCTTTGGAAACAGTTATATTACGAAAAAGATTCAATCACTTAATTTAATCTCAATAATAATATCAAATTTTTTAATAAAATGATAAAAAAATATGAATTATTGTTATAGATTACTTATATTCTAATTAATTATTCTCTATTTCTGTGAAACATTATAGAAGTCACAAAAATGCATTATAATATATATAAAGAAGAAAATTCAAGGACGTATAAAACTATAAATTAAACACATTTAAACAATTGGAATAATTAAGAAATTCTATTATATTTGTATTGTTATACAGAAAAAATAACATTATAGAAAATTAGATATTATTTGCTATAGTTGACTTCTCATATACTTGATTGTACAAGTATGTAAAATATATTTTTACACAATCTTTACAAATATCAATTTAATTTTGATTTCAGTGGAATATATTTAAATGTTGAATTGAAATCCATTAAATATATGTTGTACTTACAATTAGTGTTATCTATACTGTAGTATTACCGCAGAATATTAATAGCAGACGGCATAAATATATAGAAAATATATTTAAAAATATATGAAATCAATATAAATGTAACAAAATAAATTTTTTATTTTTAAGGTATTTTTACGGAAACATTTACATCAATTATGTTATAATTTACATCATTATAAGTAAAATCAGAGATTATTTTTAAATTTTTATATAAATTTACAAAGAACAAACTGGTTTTACCACTGATTATTTTTCCGTTTAAAATGTTTTATTTTATATTTGTTGCCGCTTACCGTGGCTGACTGCAACCAAACAAACAAACAAGAGACTAAAGAGTACGTTCATTGTGAAAGATTAATTATTATTGAAGAAAAGAAGTGGTTTGATATATATATATGTATATATATATATATATATACTTGATATGCATGCGATATTGATACGCATACATATTGATATATAGATACGAAATTTCAAAGATTATATAACTTCGATTAGATATAACAATTTCGAGAACGAGTAAGGTAAATATACTAAATAGCGGACATGACCGTTCTTATTGGTTAAATGACAAAAATTTTAAATATTAATTACTATTTAATAATATGTATGACTCTAAATAAATTTGCCTTATTAAATTTTTATAAACAACGAATTTATTTAGAATTATGTATATCAATAAAAGTTTAATATTTAAATTTTTTGTTATTTCGTCCAATATAGTATATCCGATGAACACTCAATACTCAAATAAATAAATGAATAATGAATAATAAATACTCCTTTTAATATTCATTGAGAAACGAATAAATACTTTTCATTTGACTTAAATAAATATTTTTGTGAATATGATTATAAACATTTTTTATTTGATTACAAAATAATTTTTTATTTCACTTTCATTCTGCACTATCTGCACATAACTATCAATCATAGAGCAAATAGAAATCTGTAAAAACAATAATCGGCAGAAGAATACTATTCAGACTCTTTAACTTTTATAAATTTACTTTTTTAAAATTATATATAAAGTTATTAGTACATTCCCGTTGTATCCAATTTTTCAATTAACATTATATCCGAAAAGACCACATTTATAAAAGGAATAAAAAAATAATATACGCGTAACAGAATTATCATTATCATTTCAATCACTTCAATTGTTTTAGTCACTTCAAACACATCAATTGTCTTTTTCCTTCCGTATCGAATTAAAGATCACAGAAAAACAATACGTTATCTAATCGTTTAGAATCATCAAAGTGTCGATTATAGTTAAGTGGCAAAGGTTACTTATAGGAACTTTAATTTTTAGTTTACGTTTTGTTTGAACACTTTGAATGGATATGAATACTGAACATAATTATTACGTTTTTATGAATATATATTCTTGAAAATCTACAGTTTTGAATAAAATATATACAATGTGAAAAAAAGTTGTTAACTTGACTAAATGCGTTTAGTTCATATAGTGATTATTTAGAGAGAGAGAGAGAGAAAGAGAGAGAGAGAGAGAGAGAGAGAGAGTGTTTAAATATTTATATATTTAGGTTAATAAAATATCGTAATATATTATAAAATACGTTATATGTTTGAATTAACAAATATTTGTTTGACAGCCGGCGACCGCTGCATTTAGTTAGATCAACTAATATTTTTTTAAACAGCAATTTTTTTCTCAGTACAAATACATATTTTTGTAACATGAAATTTTTTAATAAACATAATCTGTAACTCAATTACAAATTTTTGTATTTATCAGGCACATTACATCCAATATAATTGTATCATGTCCACTAACTACCTACTAACTGCTGGTACTTTTAAGTGTCATTTTAATTAGAGATATAGTTCTGAATTTGAATGGAACATATGATTGTAAAATTTATCTGTAAATATTTAACTTTATGCTTTACGTTCACCCTAAAGCTTTGAAATTAATATAAATTAATAACATAATCATCTAGGTATTTTAATTATTCTCACTACAGGATCTCTTTAATATTTATATTTCAAAGGATTTTTCTTTACTAACTTTTTATAACTTATTACACATTTATAACTATATTATGCAGATTTATGAATTTTGCAATTACAGAAGTAATGTTATTAAATATATATTTCATATAATATTATTGAATTTTACACTATACTAAAATAAAATTCAGTTTCTCTTGTCTCATTCCCTGCCGGACTTGCGATATCTTGCATTATCAGTAAAGCGTGCCCCTGCCCATAGGCAGCTAGGCAACCCGATTTACTGATGTGTAGGTTACGAAAGCACTCTGTACATAAACAAAAACAATTGATTTGTTATTTACATTGACAATTTATTTAACTCATAGAAAAAACATATATCAGAGACACAAATAATTTTTTAAATTACATATTAACAATTAAATTTTAAATTACGTAAAATAAAATGGCAGTGTAATAAATTAAATAATGTTTTTTATTTCTTCAAATGTTCATTGATCCATGTTACGAAACTGGAAACTCTTGTGTAAACGTCTGGGTATCCAAACGCGCAGGGAGTACCAAAGGAAAGGATTCCAATTTGAGCTCCATTGGCCACCAATGGCCCACCAGAATCTCCCTGGAATAAAGATGCAATTAATAATAAATTGCCAGTGTTTATATAGTAAGAAATTGTTTACTGCAAATGATAGTTACAATCGTTTCAGTGTAAGTGAAAGTGTAATCATATAATGAGACGATTAAACTTAATATTATACTTTTTATATTATAATAATGTATTTTATTAATATTTAACATTATTTATTATTTTATTGTTATCAAAAATATACATGTATCGATTTGTTTTATGATATTAGTAATCAATGGCTTACGTAGCATGCTCCTTCTCCTTCTTTAGTCAAAGTACAGATATGGCTATTTCTCACTTTCGATTCAAGTCTCTTGCAAGCTTTCTGTGGGTAAACTATTAACTCAATTTTTTGTAAATTATTCGAATTACTTCCATCAACCTAAAAAAGATTGCATTGTTAGATTGATAAGCAAAACAACTATAACATGACAACAAGCGAATTATTGTTATCAAAATGTTTTCTCATTTATTACTTTTAACATGTTATTACGTATATAAAGAGAAAGTAACTAGTTTTTCTAAAAGAGGACGTCTGATTCTTGGATATATATAACTGCAAAACTTCCGTATCGTGAGTTTAATATTACCGAAGTAGTTCCCCATCCGGTTAATGTGCACGGCTTGCCCTCGAATCCTTTATTGGATGTCGTAAGTTTTATCGGTTTCACTAGTGTACTGTACATGATAGAATGTTTAAGGTGAACCAAAGCGACGTCATTAATGAGTAAATGATCGTCGTATTTAGAGTTGACGCTTACACTTTCTACATCATAAACTGCTCCTCGTAAATCCAACCAGTTTGTGCCAGCATGAACTTTTAGATTATCCACCGAATTTTCTAAACTAAGAATAAAGGAGCATACATAATACTCGGATATCTAAAGTTGTTGAAAATAGATGTTAAAAATATCTGCTATAAATTTTGTGAATAGAATGCCAACAGAAATAATGTATTAATTATGAATTACTCTTAAAATATGTCAAATAAATGATGCATTTTTAAATTATAATTGATGATAAAGAATACTTTGCTGACTAAAATTTTCGACTAAAAGATTAATTTTAGTTAAAAGACTATAGTTTTATAATTAAATTCTGCTAAATATATATTGTTATAAATTCAGAATATTTAACTTACTCATTAACACAATTTGCTGCGGTTAATATGTTGTACTTATCAATAATAGATCCACCACATCTGTGGCTGCCATTATATTTCAATGACACTTGATACGGAAATTCGCCTATTTTAGCATTCTTACCGCCGATGATATAAGGAGCTCCTTATTGACAAAAATTAATTAATCATATTAATATACTCATGTTAATAATGTTAATAAAAATAATTATTTACGTTAATGTACACGCAAACAATATTTTACATTACTATATATATATGTATATACATTTTTAAACAATTACAATTAAACATCGTGTAAACTTTATGGCTAATGAACTATTCGGGTAAATTTATTAAAAGTAAAATTTTCTTTATTTATCATAAGTTTTATTAATTATATTAATTTTTAATGTTAAAACACATTTTAAAAATACAGGGAAATGCATGTATTCTCCTATATTGGTTTACATAATGTAACGGATATTTAAGTTATAATTAAGAACTTTTCACATATAACTGCCATCGAAAAGTTTCCGAATATATAACTTCAAAATGCATAATATTGAGGTCACCGTAACTCGGTAAAAAATCATTTCGGCAAAAAAATTAAAAAGCATTTTAAAGCTTCAAACTTATATTTTAACATACTTTTGACCGCTTTTTTATTTTTTGTTTGCGATTTTTTACCAAGTTACAGTGACCTGAATATTATGCAATTTTAAGTTCTATGTCCGAAAACTTTTCGACGGCAGTGTATGTATGTAGAAGAAAGGCCTCTATTATGAGATACCGAGTTCATTTTGGGTAAATGCTAGAAGTCCATAGGCAGAATTAAAAAAAAAATAATAGGTCATTTTGAAGGGAACTTAATAAGCTTTAAGATAAAGTTATGTAAAATTTAATTCAAATTCCATTTTTTTTTTAAATTAAAGAAATGTGAAAAGTGAGCAAATCGCAAAGTCAAAAAATTGTGCTCCTAATATGAGATGCCCCGAGAAATCGATAGTAAAACGAAAAGTATATCAGTATTACAGTTAAAAAACTTTATTTAATGTTTCTAAAATACAAACACACACAGCCAGCGTGCGCGAAAAATAAGCATGCGATAGATTATACTCAGAACTCGTCTTCAGGTAGTTTGAATCAAGCAGCGCAGAAATAGGCACTCGACGTTCATTCCGGTTGTCTTTTTTATTATTGTATAATAACATTTATACTTTAGCAACGATTTTCACTATAACATAGGAGCATGGGTTATTTCATATTACAAATACCCTGGGTATCTCATATTGCGATTTCCACGCCTTATGGTTTTACGATTATCAAATCTAACTTCTGTAATTAAACAATTCAATATATCCCGTATTTTTCTATTAGTACGACCTTACTCTATCACTACATGAAGAATTTATTGTCAAATATTTATTTATTAAATAATAAACAAGGTTTAAAAGCTCATCTTAATGAAACTTGAAGACATCAAAATTCTAAAATCTTGTTTTGCAATGACTACAGGCATGATCTAATAATGAATTTTCTACTAAATAGTTTTCAATCCAAGAGTAATAAATTCATGGTGGAACCAATAGATAGCGTTTGTTAGTTTAGCAGAAACGCCGCTATCTCAAATAACTTTTCTCTATACATTGGTAAATAATTGCTTTATAGACGTATTATCAGTAAAACATGTTGGTATTTCTCTCCCAAACAACATGCATATCTAAAAAACGTCATAAAGATATTATAAAAACATATTATTTATCAAAAAAACAATATAAAGATGTCTCCAAACAATACACATTGTTTGAATCTGTTTTTTTCTGTTATGTTAAAATATTTATAATTCATGAATTTTTACCTTCTGTGCCGTATACCAGAGCGATAAGTACAAGACAAACTAAAGCACTCATCTTGCTGATTTGTTATCTGAAACGAATAGATGCATTCGCAGGTTTATATATGTTTTCGAAGTAGCTAGAATAAAGATATAAATCACACACATGCAACGCTTATCTGAATTTTTTTCAATTTAGTATCGCATGATAAACTATTATTATTTATTGATTGATAAAGATTTTAATTAAATTCGTATTTTCTGCCGTTATAACTTCTCTTAGAAGAATGGGGATTTACGTTTATTTATGTGATAAAGTACATAATTTCATATTTAATTTATTTTTATACTTTTTATATTGATTACTATATCTAACATTCGAAACTACGGTGTCATCAATGTATTACATATCGCGTAAATAGTCAACATCTTGTAATGTAAAGAGTTATAAGTGATCTGTTTGACCAAATTAAACAAATTTATAAACAATAAATAAAAAGAAAACTTTATTTGTAAATAAAAATAAATATTAATAAAATCTCTAAAATAAAAGAAGATATTTATAATAAATATTGTATTTAAATAGAGAACATTGCGTATTTAATTTGACTGCTATGTTATTTCTGTTTGTGGAAGTGCGTGACACGTGAATTTCCACAGATCTCACTGTCTTTCCATTTATGAATGACTACTATATTTACTCAATTGATTCTAATAATTATTTATAAGACATAAAAGATAAATAATAAAATATTATTAAAATAATGTATTATATTTAACAGAATTATTAGTTTTAATTTTTTTTTCTTTGCTTCTATTTATTTGTTTCACTCTCAAAAGCCAGTATTCACAATCTATTCTGATTTTAAATCGCATAAGCAATATCTTAAGATGCTGATACAGTTCTCTTATTGGTTAGTGACATTTCAAGATTGTGCTTAAAACCGTTAAATATGAGAACTGATCATGAATACCGGCCAAAGACTTCATTATTTCAGAATAGATTTTATTCCTATTTATAATATAAATTATATTATTAACTATTTAATATTAATATTTATAATATGTGTATTAATAAAAAGCAGCATCACAGCAAATAAGGATATTATAGTTTGTATAAAAAAAATAAAATGAATTTGATATTAGTATTGACAATTTACATATAATAGAAACAGTGTATATTCCATAAAAATAATTTTTTTATTGTATTATTAATTAAATTAGAAATCACATAATATTAAATTATAATAAACAAGTTAAAATTATTAAATGTTCTATAACCGAATTTATACAATATTTGTGGGATAAATACCGCAAACCAGGATGAAGTTGGACAAAATTTTAAAGTTTTTGAAGATTTTTCACAGTAAACATTACACAAATATATTGAATTCCTATATATAATCCATCTTTAATTCTTCTACTTTAGACATGAAAAATATTATTTTATAAATTAAATAACGTTTTTTATTTCTTCAAATGTTCAGTGATCCATGTTACGAAACTGGAAACTCTTGTGTAAATGTCTGGGAATCCAAACGCGCAGGAAGTACTAAAGGAAACGATTCCAATTTGAACTTCATTGGCCACCAATGGTCCACCAAAATCTCCCTGGAATGAAGATGCAATTAATAATAAAATACCAGTGTTTATATAGTAAGAAATTGTTTACTGCAAATAATACTTATAATCATTTCAGTGTAGGTGAAAGTGTAATCATATAACGAGGCGATTAAATTTAATATTATAATTTTTATATTATAATAATGTATTTTGTTAATATTTAACATTATTTATTATTTTATTGTTATTAAAAATATACATGTATTGATTTGTTTTATGATATCAGTAATCAATGGCTTACGTAGCATGCTCCTTCTCCTTCTGTAGTCAAAGTGCAGATATGGCTATCTGTCACTTTCGGTTGTGCTGCCTTGCAATCTTTTTGTGGATAAACTGTTAACTCAATTTCTTGCATGTTATTTGAAGTACTTCCATTAAGCTAAAAAAGATTGCATTGTTACATTGATAATCAAAGCAACTGTCATGTGACAATTAATAAACGAATTATTATTATCAAAATATCTTCTTATTTATTACTTTTAAAGTCATTACATATATAACGAAAAAATAATTAGTTTCTCTAAAAGAAAATATCTGATTCTTAGATATGTATAACTGAAAAATTTCTGTATCATGAGTACAGTATTACCGAAGTATTTCCCCAACCAGATAATGTGCATGGCTTGCCTTCGAGTTCTTTATCGGTTGTCACAAGATTTATCGGTTGCACTAATACGTTGTACGTGATAGGATTTTTAAGGTGAATTAAAGCGACGTCATTAATGATTAAATTCTCGTTATATTGAGAGTTGACGCTTACACTTTCTACATCATAAACTGCTCCTGGTACATCCAACCAGTTTGTGCCAGCATGGATCTTTAGATAATCCAAATCATATTGATTGAAACTAAGAATAAAAAATGCATGTATAATACTCGGATATTCAGAGTTGTTGAAAACAGATGTTGAAAATGTTTGCTTTAAATTTTGTAAGTAGAATGTTAATAGAAATAATGTAAGGTATTAATTATAAATCACTCTTAAAATAAAAATTCACATTTTATCTAAAAAAAAGTGTCAAACAAATAATGATGCATTTTACGATTATAATTAATGATAAAGAATACTTTGTTCATTAAAATGTTAAAAGGCTAGTTTTTAAATTCTACTAAATACATATTGTTACAAATTCAAAATATTTAACTTACACTTTAACACAACGTGCTGCGGTTAATATGTTATATTTATCAAGAATAGATCCACCACACATGTGGCCGCCATTGAATCTCAATGACACTTGATGCGGAAAGTTGCCAATTGGAGCATCCTTACCGCCGATATGAGGAGCTCCTTATTGATAAAAATTAATTAATCACGTTAATATACATATGTTAATGACGTTACTAAAAATAATTGATTATGTTAATATGCACATACAACAATATATTATATTATCATATATATACACACACACATACCTTTAAGAAATAACAATTAAATGTCGTGTCAATTTTATGGCTAATGAGCTGTTCGGATAAATTTATTAAAAATAAAATTCTTTTGTTTACCATAAGTTTTATTAATCGCGACACAATGATTTTAACGTTAAATTATACGTATTTTGAGAATATTACCGGGAAATTCATGTATTCTCCTAAAAAAATTAGTTTATGTAATTAATTGATCAATAGTGGAACTATTAATAAGTATTAGAAATGGATAAAAGTATTATGTTGTATACATATAATTTTTTTTCTAGAAAATTGTATAGTTTTCATAAATATAAAGTACAACAATATTTACAGAATCTATGAATATTATGTAACGGATAATAACTTATTATTAAGAACTTTGCGCATATATAAGGTAAGTCAGTTGAAGTGTGACAAATGTATATCTTAGAAACAAAACGTTTTGTAGAATATTTCATACAAAAGTTATTTGATTTTGACTGATGCATAAGATGTATCATTGGTTTGACCTTAAATGGCGTAGTCAAGTTCAGGGACAGGTCATTTTAAATTGTTTAAAAGAAACTTTTCATTTTGTTGCTGTATTATAAAAGACGTCATAAAGACATTTTTAAAAACATATATATATATATATATCTAAAAAAATATCTAAAAGATATTATAAAAATCTTTAATGTTCATTGTCTGAATCTCTATTTCTCTTTTTTTATATTATATTAAAATATTTATAATTTATAAATTCTTACCTTCAGTGCCGTATACCAGAGCGGTAAATATAAAACAAACTAACGCACGCATCTTGCTTATTTGTTACCTGGGATTAAAATGAAGAGATGCATTCACAGGTTATATATATTATTGAAGTAGTTGAAATCTTGAATCAAAGATATGAATCACGTGCTTATGACGCTTTTCTGAATTTTTTTCAGTATTGTACAAAGAAATATTATTTGTAGAGTTTACATTATGCACTTGTTCATTGATAAAGATAATAGTTTTAATTAGATTTGTAATTTTCACAATCTTCACTTTTCTTAAAAGAATGGGAATTAACGCGTGTTTATCTGATATTGTACAAAACCTCATCATAGTTATTTTATTTTTATATCGATTACTATATCTAATATTCTATGATGTTATCAATAGATTGCGTATCGCGTTTTTATAGTAGCTTTGTAAAAATTATATATTTGCCTGATCAAATTGAACGAATTTTTATACAATAAATAAGAAATAAATGAGAATATAGATAACAGACTCAAATAATTTAAAATAAAAATAATAAGCAATAAAAGGGTTACGAGTCAAGCTGGATTTGCTAAAATATTAATTTTATTCTGTTGATATTATTTAGTACACAAACGTGTTCTGACTCGTTATCGAGACATTCTCAATGTGAATAAATTAAAATATTTACATTAGTACATAAATGATATATTATAATTCATATCAGGCCATAAATTTTATTAAACTAAAGTTTTTGAACATTGAGACAGACCAGAATAAAGAAAATGTTATCACTTAACATAAAAGAGTTTTAAAATAAAAAATTTTAGTAACAAATCAGTAATTTATCTGATTTTATCTTATTACTCGATAATATGTTTTTGGATCCAATCCTTGAAAAAGAACACTTTAGTGAATACATCGATCGCCCGACAGCACATGTTATACCAATTTGAACACCATTAGAAACAAGAGGATCACACGAGTTTCCTTGAAACTTTAATAAATACAACTTTTAATTAATTATTATAAATCAAAATTTTATTTAGTTTAATTCATATCTTACACTTAATTATCGTTAAATATTCGTAAAATTTTGATATTGTCCAATTTAGAATAAATGAAGGGATAAGAGACAGTAATATAAACAAATTTTAATTTAACACATAAAAATAATTACACATACATTTTGACACCGATCGAGTCATTCTTAATGTTATAGTAACTAAATTATTGGAAATATGTGCGGTTAACACTATTCTTCATGTCCTGTGTTATAATATTGCTAGTTAATAAATTAGACATCGTTGAAAATTGTCGACAGTAAAACCGTAATGATATTATTAGAAAAGAAGTCGAGAATATATAAATAAAAACCCAAAAAGATGGAGATTCACATCGTGGCCACAAAGTTAATAACATAAAATAGACCAACTCTTCGTTGGTTCTCTCCGTTTTGTGTTTTCGTTCTTGACATTACATTATCCGTTATTGTCGAAATCACTTGTTCGTTATTACTTCATTTACAAATTTTCTCCAATTTTTAAAGTAATAATTGTTTGTTACCACGACGTGGATCACCACTTTTTACATTCATTTTCATTTATACACGCTCAGCATACTATTCAATAAGGTCCAGTTTTATATATAATTTAATCACTGTAACATTGAGAATGACCCGATCGAAACGTGTAATTATTTTTATGTGTTAAATTAAAATTTTTTGTTACATTACTGGCTCTTAGTCCTTCATTTATTCTAAATTGTTTTATACTTGTGGAGCCTTATTATTACTTATTATCTGATATTATCACTTCTCCTAGCATTATATTTCAAATTTTTACTTTCTTAGGTTGTATTTAATAATATATAAATTTAATAAATAATTTTGAAATTTATAATTTTATGTATCGCTTATAAATAAAGTCGCAAATTAATATTATCTTTTATTAAATATTTTTAGTGTTTATAGACCGTGTGCTTTAAGATATAATGTCTATTTGATTCTACGGATGCTTTGAAGTATTTTTTGATTGGCCAATTAGTAAAATTCTTTCTTCTGATTGGTCAATCAAAAGCTTCAAAGCATTTGTAGCGTCAAATGGATCGCATCGTTATGCTCATTTCACACTACGCATTGGAGACTGAGGGGCTCCGCACAATAAAAGGAACAGGGAACAGAGAACAGAGAATAAGAATTTCAACCTATCAAAAATCATGTATTGTGGAATACACAGTTCTGATAGGTTTCTGATAGATTGAAATTCTTGTTATCTGTTCTCTGTTCCATATTCCTTTTATTGTGCGGAACCCCTTAGGATTGCGAATTGAGAATTAGAATTCAGCCAATTAGAACGAAACGGATTAAAATTAACTATTACTATCTGATTGGTCGATTCTAATCCTTAATTCGTAATCATCGATCTTAAATGCACAGTGTGACATAGGCATTAGTGAGTCTTGTAAACTCACTTTAAAGTAAGGTTATGAACCTATGTCGACATACGATAACTTTTTACTAAAGTAAGCAAGTAGTGACGTTATTAATCTGAGTGTAAGATACTCAGCTCACTTCAGACTCAGTTTCACTTGTGTGTAAATGGAAAGCAACTATTATTTCTCTTCTCCTTCTTCTTCTTCTTCTTCTCTCTCTCTCTCTCTCTCTCTCTTATTTTCTCTATTATAAAAAATTTAGAAAAATGTGACAAAAACTTGATTTATATCTTTGTTGCAACTATATCGGAAGTATATATAATCCTATGAACGCATCTACTCACTTCAAACTCAGGCAACAAATTTATAATAAAAAATACATACATTCGCTTTGTTTGATATTTACGCTGTGGTATATACCATTAAAAATACGAATTTATAATACTTCATAAATTCGTATCTTTAGTGGTACATACCACAGCGATAAATATTTAGAAAATGTGACAAAAAATTAATTATATCTTTGCAACTATATCAGAAGTAATATAATATCTTTGCAACTATATTGAAGTGAGTAGATGCGTTCATAGGTTTTATATACTTCTGATATAGTTGAAAAGATATAATTAATGTTTTTGTCATATTTTCTAAATGTTTCCCAATGCAGTATCATTGCACGATAAAATATTATATTTATAATTTCCATTATGTAACATATTAAAAGTGGTAGTCTTAATTAAATTTTCAGTTTCCACTGTCATAACTTTTCTTAGAATAACAGAAGAATAAGGACTCATATCTGTTCTTATCTCTAAGGAAGTATATAATCTGTGGTAGATTTCTTTCTATTGATTACTATATCTATAACATTCGAGTCTACGATATCGTCAACAGATTGTGTGTCACATATTCAGAAATCAATAAAAACCTTAAAGAATCATAAATTTAGGTGGCCAAAGTGCAACAAATTTATAATAGACAAATAAAGAAAGAAACTTTCTAAATAAAATATAAATTTAATAAAATCGTGATTTAATAAAATCTTGAATAAATCATGAATACAGTTACATATATGCTAGAATATGTATTATATTTAAATATTGGATGCTCTGTGTGTATATAATTTAACATTTTAACTACTATGCCAACCACATCTAAATGTGATGTAAACTTTTGCGAAAGTTCTATCATCCATTTACAGATAACATCTTTATATTCCAGATTAGAAATTATTGTATAAACATTGTATACGAGAAATACGTAATTCGGAATCTTATTTGTATAAGACAACTTACTGTGAAAATTACCTGTAAATATTTAACTTTATGAGTCATGTCCATTTTAATTTTTAAAATTTATAACGTAATCATCCATTTTTATACATTTTTTAGAATTTTTTATTTTTAATAATTTATCTTTCAAAAAATTTTTCTTCCCTAAATTCGTCAAACTTATTTATAACAGTATCATGCAGATTTATCAATTTTGTATAATACTTAACATAAATAAAATTATATTATTCAATGCAATTAATTGCAATAATCTGAGAATCTTAGAATAAAAACAACTTTGATGATTGTTACTGTTTTGTTCTTTATAATTTATTTAATTAAAAAAAAGAGCATACATTTCGCAGAAATAATTTTTTTTGTTTAAATTATATTATTACTGTTATTTTAAATTATAAATTTTGTAACACCAAATGGTGTTACCAATTTAATAAACAAATTAAGTATCTCTTAAGTCTTCAAATTTGTATCGATCCAAGACAGGAAACTGGTCACCCTTGTGTAAATATCTGGATCTCCAGGATTACAAGAACAGGCGGAGGAAACGATTCCAATTTGAACTCCATTAGCAACCAAAGGTGCACCAATATCATTCTTGAATGGAAACGTGATAAATATGAAAATACTGATATATGAAGTGACATATAAAACTATTATATACGGTAGTAATTAATTACTTATTATTGCAAATTATTATTATTATCATTTAAACGTAAGTAATTTAATTGGCATATAATTAGATAACTGTTTAGAGTTATACAACTTTATAATATTAATATTTTTTTTAGAAATATGTTGAAGATGTAAATATATCAATTTATGTTAAAGCAAAAATTTAATCGGCATATAATTAGATTCTTTTAATATTATATCTACTCCTATTAGTATGAATATATAAAGATACAGTGTAGTAAGGTAGAAGAAACATGAGGTTTTTATTATTTGGCTACGCTATAATTATTTTAATTAATAAATATATAATATTTGCTTTTTATATATCGTTATGCTTAATGTCAGGCGTTTCGATTAAAAAATATTTTATATTCATTTTATTTCTATGAGATGTTTTTACACAATATTCATGCGATAGGATAAACTAGGGTATTATGGCCATACGGAAAAGATGACTATAGGCCATAATTTCTCCAACAATTGATAAATAGTGCATTTTTATAGTTATTCTTAAAGATAATCGATATTTACAATAGTTCATATAAGTACACTGTTCAAAATAACAATATTAAACATTATCTAATATTTTTTTCTTTCGACTATCTGCAAAGTTTTGCACGTGCTGCTAAAAACTGTTATAATGTCTAATAAATTACAGTTAAGCTAACATAATCAACATTACATATACAGTAAAGGTACGTAAATTGCAATGTGATCTATAATGAATACTTTTATTTTCACTATTTATTTATAAATACTATGGCTATCTTTCTTAATGTCATGGCCATCTTTTCCCTAAAAATCAGATAAGATGGCCAATACATACTTTGTAATATTTTGAAAAAATTAAAATTCTGTTAAGTATTTTCTTTTTAATTTCGATAGTATTTGTTACTTTAAGCTTCAGTGAAAGTAATATCCCAAATATTGTTAAAAAGTAACGAGAATAAATGTATGTTTTTTGCATTTTAAAAAACTATGGCCATCATACTCGAGTTTACCCTAGATACGTAACAAAATGATATAGAATGGCACCAAAGATTAGAATCATTTGTATTATTAATCTATTAATATTGTATCAAAAAAATATAATTGATTTGTTTTTCATATTAATAATCGAAGGCTTACCTGGGAATCTTCCGTTTTGTTTTGAGCTATAGTGCAGATATGGCTGTCTGTCAGTTCCCAGTGACTTTTCGCGCATTCTTTTTGGTTATCAACTATCAACTCAGTTTGTTGCAAGTTTTCATTCTAGAAAGGATAATTGCATTAATTGTTACATCGAGCATCGAACAACGAATAAGCAGCAGAATTATTATAATTAAAATATCTTTTTACACTTATTATTTCTAATTTCTTGTTACATTTATATAAAAAGAAAATACTAAATTACTTTAAGAAAAAGTTTTTTCCTGAATATGTATAATTAGAAATTTTTATATCATAAGTTTAACATTACTGATTTAATTATCCATCCGGATAATGTGCACTTCTTGCCTTCGAAGCTTTTATTGAATTTTGGAAGACTTGTCGGATTCACTAGTACGTTGCGTTGGATAGGATCCTTAAGGTGAATCAAGGCGATGTCATTAGAGCATAATAATTTGTCGTAATTTTGGTGGACGATAATACTCTCTACGTTATGACGGTATCCTGTACCTTTTATTAAGTTTGTGCCGACATGGACCGTTATTTCATCTAGTGAACACTTCAAACTAAGAATAACGAAGTACATAAGAAAATTAAAAATCCATATCTATTAAGAACAAAATTTTGAAAGTATTTGTTATGTATTTTATCAATTGAATATCAACAGAAATATAACAGATGCTGCTAATAGAATATGATAGAATATTGATTGCAGAAACTAAACACTTTGCCGTTTAAATGACGTATTCCATTTAAATGTTAACGAAATAAAATATTCACACTCTCTCTCTCTCTCTCTCTCTCACTCTGTTTGGTATCACCCTCCAATTTGATGTTAGATTACATCGTTAAGTTCTGCCAGCAAAATATAAGTTGAATGAATACTTAAATGATACTGAATATGTTGCAATATCTAAGCAAATCTGCTATTAATTTGTAATCAGTAGATTTGTTTAGATATTATATCTGCTGACAGTTTGCTTATTGAATACGTACACATTTCATACACTCTGTGTCTATTTAATACGTTCAAATAAGGTTAGTTTTACACTCCAAAAATAATGTATATTGATAAAAACTCAGAATATTCAACATACTTAACAACACATTCGGCTGAAGTTAACACATTAAAATTATCAAGAATAGATCCACTGCATATGTGGCCGTCGCTTCCTCTTAATGAAACTTGATACTTAAATTTTCCGATGGGAGCATCACTAACATCCTTAATGTCGATAGGAGCATCCTCACTTATGGTAGAAGGAGATGGAGCTCCTTATTAACAAAAATAAATTGATTATATTAATACAAGTGTAAAATAATATCTGTTACATTATTATAAAAATTTTCCGGTAAGATGTACAAATCGATTTGTCTCTCCCAGAACATCGAATAAAGATAAAATAAATCCTGTGTTGATTTATGTCTTTTCTTGAAAAAATATCTTATTTACATTAACTTTAGCAATTAAACATCGTGTTTATTTTATAACTAAATGAGTTGTTTAGAGAAATTACAGTTTTATTTGGGGAATAGAAATTTTTTATATCTAGCAAAAGCTTTATTGTTCATTTCACATTAATTTTTATTAAACTACACATATTTAAAGAATGCAAAGAGATATATACATCCTTTCCGTTGACATAATTAATTATAATTAATTAATTTGTTTGTTCATAATATTCTAGTTCGTTTTAGATATATGTTTTTCTTACATATACGATAAAATTTACTATATAAATAACATACAATCGTTATTATTAAAAACTTTGAATTTATTGAAAAGTAATAACTAATACAGTGCTGGAATTTACTGCCGATTGGCATTTAGACTCCGCGCAGATTAGTGAGTTAAGGGAAACAAACTACAAATCGTCTGAAAGTTGCAAATAAGTTCTAGCATTGAGCTAATATATGTACCGCTTGTTGCATCAACATATTGATCAGTATGTCAGATTGTTTTCTGTAGCAGAACTAGCAGACGCGTGGTCAATCGATTACATTTATAAAATTGATAGATCTATTATATTTTATAAATGTTATGTTTGCTAGAAAAGTTATTACATTTATATAATACATATATACAGTAACCCGACATGTTGACCAATATATTGATGCTACATCCAGCACATGTTATCGGACATGTTTAATTCTCTGTTTTCCATTCTCTCTCTCTCTCTCTCTCTCTCATTTTCTTTCCCATAAAGTAGTTACATAATAACTTATAAAGTATATGGAAATAATATTTCCAGGTAATGGAAGTAATTAGTTATCGTAACTGCCGTTATTTATTGTTAGTTACTTAGTTGCATTGTTGTAATAACGTTCCGAATGTTATATATTGATAATAGATTCGTTTTGTATTCCTACATTTTCTGAACTGGTGCATACAGTGTAATAAGATAAAGTGAAGCAAACATACATTTATATCACTTCAACTTATTGCATCTTGTGCACCAGTTCAGAGAATGTAGAAATAAAAAACAGATCTCATGTAACACCAGAGTTGAAACAGTTAATAGTTATTTATCAAGAATTGAAAATAAAGTAATTTGTTACTGAAAAAGATAACTCGCAATTTGCATCTCGTTCTTTTTAATGTAATTTGTAACGGAATTAGTTTACGGCATTACTAGTTACTCTCTTGTTACTTTTTCCAATAATAAGTAATAAAGTTTTCGTAAGTAATGCGTATTGGTGACATTTTACTTTTCGAAGTGACTTTTCTTAGCTTTAATTTCAGCTTTATATATTTAGTCATCATTACAGTTATAAAAAATTGCAATATTATTATGAAAAATTGTTATTGTAAAAAGCAACTGTAAGAGTAACGGAAAAGTAATTCTTCCATTTTCTGATAAATTCATACCTTCAGTAGCGTATGCCAGAGCGACAAATATAAAACAAGCGAACGCACGCATCTTCGGTTGCAGATTTGTTGCTTGATATTGAAGCGAATAGATGCATTTAAAGATTTATATATATTTCTGAAGTAGTTGCAACAAAGATATAAATCTTGCGTTTGTTTTCCAGAATTTTTCTTAATGCGATATCATATGATAAAGTATCGTTACTACTATTATCTGATACACATGTCATAAAATACATTTTAATCTCGTTAGATGTTATCTCTCTCTTCACATATGTGCCGATCGAGTTAGCATTGGAAAATGTTTCTAATAGATAGTCGAACATTTCTAAGGGTTGCAATATCTGAAAAGATGAATTTATTACTATTCTTTAACTCGTTCTAAACTCGTCATTTTTCTAGATGTATAAAACGCATAAAAATAATTCTTTAATTTTTAATTAAAAATTTGAACACTCAGTATTTTTTATTTTATTATTAAAAAATTATTTCAAATTCTCTTTCTTATATACACACATAGTTATAATTATTATTTATCGTATATTAAACTTGTTCAACGTTTTATAAATTAAATTTATGCAACATTTGTGGAATACAGAATTTTAATATATTTAAATAATAATGTATGTGCATAAAATATATCTTAATATTGTTTCACTAATATTGCTAAAGATATATTTTGTTTTGTCCCATTATTAAATAATATATTTTTTAATCCATTTCGTGAAAGAGGCCATTCTAGTATATATATCGAGCCATCTCCGAACACATAGCATACCAAAAGAGACAAGAGAATTACCTAAATCTCCTTGAAAATTTAATAAATACAACTTTTAATTATTTGTTATAAATCAAAATTTTATTTAGTTTGATTCACGTCTTAGACTTATTTATCGTGAAATGTACAAATTCTATCATTTATCCAAATCCTATATTTCAATTTTTTTTCTTGAATTATGTTTAATAATATATAAATTTAATAAATAAATTTAAAATTTATAATTTTATGTATCTCTTATAAATAAAATCGCAAATTAATATTTCCTTTTATTAGATATTTTTAGCGTACACCGTGCGCTTTAGGATATGGTCGATTTGATTCTACAGTTGCTTCGAAGCATTTTTTGATTTGTCAATTAATAAAATTCTTTCTTCTGATTGGTCAATTAAAAGCTTCAAAGCATTTGTAGCGTCAAATGGACCGCATCCTCATGCTCATTTCGCGCATTGGAGACTTAGGATTGCAAATTGAGGATTAGAATTCAGCCAATTAGAACGAAACGGATTAAAATTAACTATTACTACCTGATTGGTCGAATTCTAATCCTTAATTCGCAATCCTCAAACTTCAATGCATAGTGTGACACGGGCATTAGTGAGTCTCGCAAACTCACTTCAAAGTAAGGTTATGAACCTGTGTTGACATGCGATAACTTTTTATCAAAGTAAGCAAGTAGTGACGTCATTAATCTGAGTGTAAAATACACAGCTCACTTCAGACTCACTTGTCAGTTTCACTTGTGTGTAAATGGATAGCAACTATTGTTTCTCTTCTTTTTCTTTTTCTTCTTCTTCTTCTTCTCTCTCTCTCTCTCTCTCTCTGTCTCTCTTATTTTCTCCATTATAAAATATCTACAATACCTTATAAATTTGTATCTATAGTGGTATATATCACAGCGATAAATATAAAACAAGCGAATGTACATATTTTTGATTGTAAATTGTTGCTTGAGTTTGAAGAGAATAGATGCATTTACAGGTTTATATATGTATACTTCTGATATAGTTGCAACAAAGATATAAATCATGTTTTTGTAAGATTTTTCTAAATTTTTCCCAATGCACTATCATTGCACGATAAAATACTACATGCATAATTTACATTATATAACTTATTAAAAGTAGTAAAGTATTAATTAAATTCTCAGATTTCACTGTCATAACTTTTCTTAGAATAAACAGAAGAATAAGGGCTTATTTCTGTTCATCTCTGATGAAGTATATAATCTCTGGTAGATTTCTTTCTATTGATTACTATATCTATAACATTCGCGTCTACGATATCGTCAACAGATTGTGTGTCACGTGTTCAGAAATCAACAAAAACCTTGAAGAATCATAAATCTAGGTAGCCAAAGTCCAACAAATTTATAATAGACAAATAAAGAAAGAAATTATGTAAATAAAAAATAAATTTAATAAAATTTTGATTTAATATAAAATCTTGAATAAATCATAAATAAAATTGTATATGCTAGAATATATTAGGTGTTAAACTTAATTCCTGCCGTTTTTCGTCTCCAAAATTGATTTGTTTTGAAAGGAAATACCTTAATCAAGGTATTATTAATAATAGTATTATTAATTAGTAATAAAGTAGAAAATGGAGGAAATTACTTTGATTAAGATATTCATTCATCTTTCCTTCGAAACAAATCAATTTTGGAGACGAAAAACGGCAGGAATTAAGTTTAACACCTAATTATATTTAAAGATTGGATACTGTATATGATCTAACATTTTACGTACTATGTCAAACACATCTAAATGTGATGTGAAAACTTTTGCGAAAGTTTTATCATTCATTACAGGTAACATCTTTATTTACCAGTTTAGAAATTATTGTATTAACATTGTAAATGAGAAATATGTAATTCGGAATCATATTTGTATAAGACAACTTATTGTGAAAATTACCTGTAAATATTTAACTTTATGCATCATGTCCATTTTAATTTTTGAAATTTATAACATATTCATCTACTTTTATGTTTTATTTTACTAAATTTTTTTTTATTATTATTTATATTTATCTTTCAAAAAATTTTTCTTCGCTAAATTCATCGAACTTCTTTATGACGGTATCATGCAGATTTATCACAATTTTGTATAATATTTAATATAAATAAAATGATATTATTCGTTGTGGTTTATAACTGGGGTAACTGAGAATCTTAGAATGAAAACAACTTTGATTGTTACTGCTTTGTTATTTACATTCATAATTTATTTAATTGAAAAAAAGAGCATACATTTCGCAGAAATAACTTGTTTAAACTATATTATTACTGTTACTTTAAATTATAAACTTCGTAACACCAAATGTCATTTAATGAACAGATTAAATATCTCTTAAGTCTTCAAATTTGCATTTATCCAAGACAGGAAACTGGACACTCTTGTGTAAACATCTGGCTCTCCAGAACAGACGGAGGAAGCGATTCCAATTTGAATTCCATTAGCAACCAAAGGTGAACCATGATCATTCTTGAATAAAAATGTGGTTAATATGAAAATACTGATATATGAAGTGACATATAAAACTATTATATACGGTAGTAATTAATTACTTATTATTGTAAATTATTATTATAATCATTTAAACGTAAGTAACTTAATTGGCATATAATTACATTACTGTTTAGTATTATTCTATTTTATGATATTAATATTTTTTTTAGAAATGTATTAAAGATGTAAATATATCAATTTATGATAAAGTAAAAATTTAATCGGCATATAATTAGATTCTTTTAATATTATATCTACTTCTATAAGTATGAATATATAAAGTTATAGTGTAGTAAAGTAGATGAAACATGCGGTTTTTTTTAATTTTGCACAATGCCATAATTTTTTTTATTAATTAACATATAACATTTACTTTTTATATCGTTTTTTTAATGTCTGGCGTTTCAATTAAAAAAAAATTTTATATTCATTTTATTTCTATGAGATGTTTTTACACAATATTCATGTGATGGATATGTAACAAAATGATATAGAATGACATCAAAGATTAGAATCATTTATATCATTAATCTGTTAATGTTGTATCGAAATATATTTAATTGATTTGTTTTTCATGCTAATAATCGACGGCTCACCTTGTATCCATCCGTTCTGTTTTGAGCCACAGTGCAGATATGGCTAGCTGTCAGTTCCCAGTGACTTTTCGCGCATTCTGTTTGCTTATCAACTACCAACGCAGTTTCTTGCAAGTTTGCATTCTAGAAAAGATAATTGCATTAATTGTTACATCGAGCATTGAACAATGAATAACAGCAGTAGAATTATTATAATTAAAATATCTTCTTACACTTATTATTTCTAATTTCTTGTTACATTTATATATAAAAAGAAAATAATAAATTACTTTAAGGAAGAGTTCTTTCCTGAATATGCGTAATTGAAAAATTTTTATATCATAAGTTTAACATTACTGCCGTAATTGTCCATCCGGATAACGTGCACGCCTTGCCTTCGAAGCTTTTATTGGATTTTGGAAGACATGTCGGATTCACTAGTACGTTGCGTTGGATAGGATCCTTAAGATGAATCAAGGCGATGTCATTAGAACATAATAATTTGTCGTAATTTTGGTGGACGATAATACTCTCTACGTTATGACTATATCCTGTACCGTCTATAATTGTGCCGACATAGGCCGTTATTTCACTTGGTGAACACTTGGAACTAAGAAAATAACGAAGTATATAAGAATATTAAAAATCCATATCTATTAAGAACAAATTTTTAAAGTATTTGTTACGTATTTTATCAATTAAATATCAACAGAAATGTAACAGATGCTGCTAATGGAATATGATAGAATGTTGATTGCAGAAACTAAACACATTTTGCCATTTAAACGACGTATTCCATTTAAATATTAACGAAATAGAATATTCACTCTCTTTCTCTCTCTCTCTCTCTCTCTCTCTCTCTCTCTCTCTGTTCGGTTTCTGCTATCACCCTCCAATGTGCTGTTAGATTACATCGTTAAGTTCTGCCAGCAAAATATAAGTTGAATGAATACTTAAATGACACTGAATCTGTTGCAATGTCTAAGCTGTTGCAAATCTGCTATCTACTTGTAATCAGTAGATTTGTTTAGATATTATATCTGCTGGCAGTTTGCTTATTGAATACGTACACATTTCATACATTGTGTCTATTTAATACGTTCATATAAGATTAGTTTTACGTTCCAAAAATAATGTATATTGGTAAAAATTCAGAATATTCAACTAACTCTACTACACATGCTGCTGAAGTTAACACATTCAAATCATCAAGAATAGATCCACTGCACATGTGTGTGCCGTTTTGGCTTAATGACACTTGATACTTAAATTTTCCGATGGGAGCATCACCAATATCCTTAATGCCGATAGCATCCTTACTGGTAGAAGGAGATGGAGCTCCTTATTAACAAAAATAAATTAATTATATTAATACATATGCAAAATAATATTTGGTACATTATTATAAAAATTTTCCAGTAAGAGGTACAAATCGACTTGTCTCTCACCGAATATCGAATAAAGATAGAATAACTACTGTGTTGATTTATGTCTTTTCTTGGCAAACATCTTACATACATTAACTTTAGCAATTAAACATCGTATTTATTTTATAACTACATGAGTTGTTTAGAGTTACGGTTTTATTTAGAATAGAAATTTTTATATCTAGCAAAAGCTTTACTGTTTATTTCACATCAATTTTTATTAAACTACACATATTTAAAGAGCCTTATTTATTGTTAGTTACTTTGTTGCCTTATTGTAATAACGATTTGGTAATAACGTTGCGAATGTTATATGTTGATAATAGTTCCATTTTGTATTCCTGCACTCTCTGAAGTGGCGCATACAATGCAATAAGATACAGTGAAGCAAACATACATTTATTTCACTTCAACTTATTGCACCTTGTGCACCAGTTCAGAGAATGCAGGAATAAAAAACACACCTCATGTAACACCAGAGTTGAAACTAAGTATTAACCAGAGTTAATAGTTACTTATCACGAATTGAAAAAAAAGTCATTTCTTACTGAAAAAGATAACTCGCAATTTGCATCTCGTTCTTTTTAATGTAATTTGTAACGGAATAACTTTACGGCATTACTAGTTACTTATTATACTTTTTCCAATAATAAGTAATAAAGTTTCAGTAATTAATGCGTATTGCTGACGTTTTACTTTTCAAAGTGACTTTTCTTAGCGTAATTTCAACTTTAGTTAGTTATCATTAAAGTTATAAAAAATTGCAACATCATTATGAAAATTTGTTATTGTAAAAAGTAACTGTAACAGTAACGGAAAAGTAATTCTGCTATTTCCTGATAAATTCATACCTTCAGTGGCGTATGCCAGAGCGACAAATAGAAGCCAAGCGAACGCACGCATCTTTGGTTGTAGATTTGTTGTTGGATATTGAAGCGAATAAGATGGATTTAAAGATTTATATATGTTTCTGAAGTAGTTGCAACAAAGATATAAATCTTGCGTTTTTTTTCAGAATTTTTCTCAATGCGATATCATATGATAAAGTATCGTTACTACTATTATCTGATACACATGTCATTAATTACATTTTAATCTCGTTACATGTTATCTCTCTCTTCACAAATGTGCCGATTGAGTTAGCATTGGAAAGTATTTCTAGTGGATAGATCGGACATTTCTAAGGGTTGCAATATCTCAAAAGACGAATTTATTACTATTCTTGAATACGTTCTAAATTCGACATTTTTCTAGTTTGATAATAATATATATAAGCAAACTGTTTTATTATTTGCCGTATAAGATTTTCCTTATCATCGGTGATTGCTGACTCAGTTTTGCAATTTTAAAACGATGAGATTTCATTTCCGTTTTACGTCAGATATCGTAAACAATATTACTACAGCTACTTTTTCTAATGACCGAGATTCTTAATATATTTAAGTCGTTTCACCCAAGACTTTAATTTATGGTTGAAATCGGAAGCAGTGTTTTAAATTTTTAGGCATTAATATTATCATAAATGACAATATCCTCTAGAATTTGATTAATTTCGCAAATCAACTTTCTCAAGGAAATATCTAAAATTTATTTCTTCTCATCGGTTTAACAAAATAGGAAAGTTATCATATTGAAATATTTGACACTCTTTTTTTTATCGTATCTAAAATTCCACACACAACTAAAATATTAATTTTATTATTGAAAAGCTTTCAAATAATGACATATTTTTTAGATTTTATATTTGACTATCAGTGTTAAATCTCTTTGTTATAAAGAAACTTTAAAACAAACTCTAAAACAAAATATTGATATGAATTCGGTCACGGAGGAAAAAGAAAACAATCCTAGGGCTATATCACACAAAAAAATTTAAGCAGTAATACGTAAGCAGTGAGCGAATTGATCAATCACGGTAGAGTCCGTAAGCCTTAGACAATCCAACATGTTGATTTCTTTATTGCTTATGTCTGACTGTCTTAAGTTTTTTGTGTGCCATGATCTTTACTATTCTATATATTCAGAATGTTTCTGAAAACTTAGGAATATGATAAGAAATTTGAAAGTAAAATTAGCGTTTTATAGTTTTATAAAACTGAGCAGGTTTATAAAAGTTTATAAAGATGTGCTTCCAAATAATTTAAAGAAAAATGTGATATCAAATCTAGTGTTGCGAGGGTGGGAAAGAACCGGGAAAGAACCAGGGAAAAACCCGGGAAAGAGAGAGAGAGAGAGAACAGGAACGAAAAACAATTCTTTCCACGCTTTAAGGGAAAGAACCCGTGGCCACTGATTATACATTATATTTGAAGATTGAATACTGTATATAATCTAACATTTTACGTACTATGCCAACCATATCTAAATGTGGTGTGAACTTTTGCGAAAGTTTTATCATTCGTTACAGGTAACACCTTTCCCAAGCAGCAAAATTAGTCGAAAATACGTTCAATTGACCTCCAGATAGGTCCGAAAGTCTGTTAGACCTGACCTAATGAACGTCAAATCTACGTCGATCTGACGTAAGTGGGGAATGAAAAGACGGTAATTTAATAGTATTAATTAGGTAATGGAAGGCATTTTGCCCAATAGGTCATAGTTCGATTTGGTCAAATGGACTAGTAGGAGATCGAGTATTGGTAATATTTTGGTAATTTCATACTAATTGTGTCCTAAATTAAACTTAATTACAACCACGTCTTGCGGTCTTCCTTTTAACGCGGATGATCTTGTTTCTTTTCTTTTGAGAACACATGCGAGTGGCAACGCTGCATAATATATTCCATGATTCTATACGTAAAGATGAAGGAAAACAGTCATCAAATGTGATATTTGTATAAGCAGTACCGTCATTAGTTCGCAGTTTCTAAGATGATTTTCGCGTGGCATATGACGTAAATACAAATGCGAATGAAAATTTTCTGTATAGATTTTTATTTTAAATTATTAAAATAAACGCGCCATAAAAAGAGAAAATTTTGAAATATTATTACTTATTATTAATTATTTGTTAATTTAATATTTTACATTTAGCAAATTAATAGAGTTGTTCCCTGATTTGTAGGTTGGAAATGATTAAAAATATTGCTTACTTTCTAAGATAGAAGAAATAGA